CTTACCTTTGGGGGAGAGATGGAGACCATCACGCCCCAGGGCACATTGCGATTTGCAGTTGGGCCTTGGCAATTGCAGCATGGCAAGGGGTCAGATAAAATACCTAGAACAGGGAAACTTGTTGTCTGCCTTCTTACTGGACACAGGAAGCAGGTAGCTCCTGGGACTAGGAGTGAGTCTCCTGAGGCCAGCAAGACAGCAACCCAGATATGGAACTTGTCCACTTCAGCAAGCATTGGGCCTATTTCACTGAGCACCCCTGTTCCTCAATAGCCCGGTCACCAGGGCCAAGTTTGACCAGGTCTGGCCAATATGTGGTTTGAGGCAGTTGCTTTTCTGTCAAATGCTGGTAGTGTGATCTCAGATAAGGACCCTTCCAGCTAAGCACAGCACCCCCACCCGGCCTGGATAGGAAGAGCTGTCTAGTCTTTTAGTGGTTGCCCTAAAAAGGCCTCTCTCACTTGAACCTTCTCAGGGGCATAAGGCCATGGCATGCCCTCTCCCGCAGTGGCTGGATTCTTCTCATTTCTTTGATCATACCTGCTGATCTCTGGCCTAAGAGGAGAGACAGTGCATGACAGACTTCTCCCAGTGGGGGAGGAGGAGATGTGCTGATGATTCTGGACTTAGTTCATTGGGGCTGCAGGGTCACTGATTGGCCAGGGGCTCTTATGGGGATTTTCAGAGCTGTTGTCAAATGCTGCTGCTCCTCGCACTGAGAGGCCCATGGACAATTTTTGACTCGCTGCCCCTGCTCAGCCTATCCTTGGTGAGGTCCAGATGGCTTGGGCCTTGTAGGTCAGCTACCTAACATCTTCCATGCTAAATGTTGCATGACTTCCTTATTTTAAGAACTTTAACATCTGCATGGTTTGTGGCTGGAACTAAGAATCTGGGATGAAGAAAAAGCCGTGAGGTCAAGGAGTGTTTCGCTGCCTTCCTGTAAGCCTGCTTGGGTTGCACTAAATTATAAGCTATTGAATGTCTCCATTGCCTGCTTGTGTTAAGCTCAGTAGAGCTTGCTATGGGCAGACTGCTAAAACCCCTCCATATTTCATCAGCCTGATGTGTGCTGTGCCCTGTCATCATATTCAGCATGCCACAGATACAAACTGGTTGTGGTGACTGCTTGTTCTTTGTAAAGTGCCTCTTGGCTTGAGTGAAGATGCACTGGGGTGGGAACCTGGGGTATCTTGAATTTTCTGTCCATTGGCATGAATAGTGTTGTGCTCTTCGCTACCCTTCTATTATTGAGCAAGGTGTCAGATGCTAGTGAGAGGTTATGGAAGGTATAAGATGCATTTAGATCTCTGGTGGGAAGGTCTAAGGCTCAGGCATCTAGTAAGCAGACATGACACAGGTTGTGTGAGATACAGCATGGCTATGTTAAACGCAGAGCAGAGAGTGCAGATGCAGCATTGCAATTGTTCTGCTGATTCTTTTTTAAGTTTTCCTCAAACCTGTCAGTTGTGCATGTGGGTTCCGAGCCAATGACCCTCGAGATGGATGGGCAGTCTCCCCATTTATTGGTCTTGGGGCTTTGGCCTAACTTCATGATAAACCCAAGTGATCCTGCCCTCCTGCCACTGTTACTGTTGTCCTTTCTCCACCACTCCATTTTCCTGATTTACTCCACAATAATGGTGGAGGGGAAGTTTACATTGTGGCAGGAAAGATCATACCAACCTTAGAGGAGTTTGGTGCCTTAGATAAACTAGAAAGCGTCTTTGGCCATCCATGTAATGGCACCCTTGCTTCCACCTTATCCATGGAAAGATGAGGTATCTGCATAATTTCTGGTGCATCACCCAAGAGGGTTGGATCTGTCTGACTGTCCTGTCTTCTTTTGAACAGAGAAAAGAAGCAACTGAATGCTGTCCTCCAGGTAGCTCAGGTAAGTTGAACTGTTTTATTCCTTCTGTGCATCTCCTGTAGAAGTCTGCAGCAACTCAGGGTCCTCTGGTCTCCTTCACCGCCTCTCCTTACCCCTGAAGTTTGCAGCTATTTTAAGTAGTAGCTGTATGCTCTTGGTAAAAGTGCTATGACCTGGGCAGAAGGAGTGTCTTGCTAACATGACTCAAATGCCAATTTGCACAGGTCCTTTCTGCACACTTCAGGGTTAGGCAGGCCACACTGTGTTTTACCTCTGCTTGCTATAGTGGGTGACCCTCCATGCTGTACTTTTTGGCACAGATCCCTCTTTGTTAGGTTGTAGCCTACAACAATCAAAACAAAAGAAAAGTGGAAAGGTGTGCGAATGGCTAGCACCCTCACTCAGTGCCACTGATCTAACTACTCATAGCTACGTGAGGCAGCAAAAGAACTAAGTGGATCAAACCATCTGACTGTAAAAGCTCAGGACCTTCTGATCTCCCTCTGTCCATTTCTATTCAGTTGTGGCTCAGCTGAATGTGAGAGGGATTTCATAGATTTCGTAGACATTAGGGCTGGAAGGGACC